TTTCTTTATCTTTAATTTTAATAATACATGCCAAATTTAGTTTTGATAGTAAAATGTTTCAATGTTGACATAATCATATACACAATTTTATTATTTTAAAATATTTAATCTCCCGTTATCAGATATTTATTTATTCTTCTTTTTTTTCATTACGATAAATTAAAGTTATATTATATCACGATAGTAGTGAAATCTTAGTTGCGAAATGAAGTCTAATAGTCTCACTTAAGAATAAAAAAACAATAAGCTTTTTGAAGATAATATACTAATTATCATCAAAGAATTTTAATGTTATGTTAAAATTACATAATTTCCGATATAGTATTAATATTTCTCATTTTAATTACAATATTTTTCTACCTACAACCTTTCTACCTTTTATGTATATATATATATATATATAGTTATATGGTCTTTAAATTTAATGGGTCAACATCGTGAAGGCTAAAAATATTATAATATTATTAATATAAGATGTGAACATATTGTAAGCAAAATACTGCGATCTGAAGATCATATTACACATTACAGATACTGTTATACTGTAAAGTATTACAGATGTACTTTACAGTATAAAGTAAATCTGTAATATGGTGTCTGATGTCATTGCTCACAAGAATTCAAGAATATCGACTGCATTTTTCGTTGGTATTAAGTATAGCCCATGATGTTTTATCAATATATTACTATCCCCTAGCACATGCTTTAGTAATAAAGTTTCTTTCTTTCTTATTATTAAGCAACAAACACTTGAGATAGTGTAGAATTAGACAACATGAAAAATATTATAGATTTATTTTGGTCCTAATAAAATATATAAAGAGATAATAAGTGGACATTTACTACCAAAAGATAGTGTGTAAAAGAAGAATATAGAGTAAGTAAGTAACTCAGGTGAAGGTGATTCTTTAAATTTGTTATCAATTTTAAATGTAATTTTATTTACCAAGATATAACTTATCAAAGAGAAGTATATCTGAAAATAAACAATGTTTAAAAAATTATAAAATCCCTTTATTGCCTTGACTAGTTTTTTAAGTTTTTAACTAAAACACAGTGAATCTTTAAAGTGCTGACATATCTAGGAGAAGACTTACATAATTATTATATTTTTAATCTGTTAAGATCCACCCCACTCCATCTGGTTACATGATTACAAGTTGTGTATAATTAAGATATTACTGTATTTGTTTTATTTATTAAATTTCAGAAGCCGACAACTTAGGAAGACTCAGGACATTAGTTTTTTAAATTTTCAACCAAAATACATTGAATATTTAAATATTACATATTTTCAATCTGCAACCACGAGTCCTCTAACTCGTTTAGTTACAATGCTACACGTTGCTCTTAAGTCAGATTCTACTAAACTTATTATATTTATTAAGTTTCAGAAGCCGACAGTTTAAGAAAGTACGGAAGACAAGTGTTTAATGTTTTTAACCGAAATATATAAATTCTTTGTAATATTTACATATCTAAAAGAATATTTTAATCTGCAAACACCTCTAACCAATCTGGGTACAGGCCTGTATGTTGTATATAAGTAAGATACTTTTGTACTTATTCTATCTATTAAATTTCAGAACCTGACAGTTCAAAATCCTACATCCACAACAACAATGTTCCAGTGAGAACTCCTGTCGCATTATTATTGTTTGTAGTATAAATGAACCAGGTAGGTTAGAGTTCGTAATTACAATTACAAATTACAATTACAATAAGCAAAAATAATTTATCTGTTTAGATCAAAAGGAGAATATGGACATTATAATGGTTCATTGCACAAAATTACATAGACTTTAAATATTAGGGCAACATATTTCATTAAATTCTACAAATTTCAGAAACCAAACTACACGTCTATATAGATTAGGGTTAAAGCTTGATTATTGGAGGTAAGTTTTTAAGAAATACTCCTTAAAAATAAAGCAATCAAGATTTCATAATGATACTAACACTAAGTGTGTGTTAGATATAAAATATATATTATATTAGCGCTAAATTTTTATAATTAAAGACACCAATATATTAGGAATAATTTAAAGAGCATAATTATGAATAGATTGAGATAATTATTGCCAAAATTAAACTAATTTAAATTAAACCATTTTGTTAATTTCATTTTTTATTCGAAAATTACCTTTTCATATATGTATTAAACGGATATCATAAAATTTCTAATATAATCGACTCCACACAGCGCGAACGCAATTAAATTCAGATTCTAAAAACAAACAAACTATTTACCAACTTAAATTAAAAAAAAAAAATTAAAAAAAAAAATAGATAGGGAGAGAAAAAAATTCATTGAATAAAATGGTCAGAATCTGGTTTGTTGACCCGTACCTATAATAAGAGATAATGTGTAAAACAATAACAAAAGAAAATCCCGTCATTCTTATATCCCATAATAATAGCGACTTCTTTGTGTGCTTAGGGCAATTCTTCAATGGTTTTTCACGTATATCAACACCACAGCAACAACACAGTAACAGCAACAACACAAAAAGAACAAATTCAATAAAAACAAGAGCCAAAAGAAAGTACATAATAAACAAAAAAAATATATAGAAAAACTAGCCAGTGCTGCAGTCAACCGGGAATATTTAAATACAGTTGAGAATGTGAATAATAGATAAATGGATGCCAATTTGTGTGTATTTCTATTGTTTTTGTTTTTGTACGCTTCGTTTAGTTGGTAAGTTTTGTAGTTGTTGTTTTTATTGTTTTTGTTTAAAATTCTCAAGGTTTTGAACAGTGCTTGAACATTGTTTTTGTATTTTCTCTGCTTATTCAAAAAACTTACTTATGCAAAGCACGAAGCCGAAATTTTGTTAATAGAAATTAAAATAATACAATAATAATAAGTGATAATAATACCTTTTAAATTTCACCTCAAATTAATTTGTTGATTTTACATTTAAAATGAACTTTAAATGGAATTTAATTCAAGAACATCACAACTCTTAATACATTTCTGTACATATTTTATTTCAAATTAAATACTTTGCACAATACACTTTAAATTGAATTATTATTTTTTAATTGGAATTTATATATAGACTGTACGCACTTTTTTAAAAATCAAATCTGACATTGAATTAGTTATTTCCAATAAAAATATTTATAAATCTATAAATTTTCGCAAAATATTCATTGGGATTCATTGATTTTATTTTGAACTTTTTTGTTGTTATATTTTACGTGTTTTTAGAAGCGCAGTTTAAATTAGGATTATAAAAACATTGTTTGTTTATTAAATATAATTTAAGTAATTAATAAACATATGTTATTTATTTAAAAATTATTATCCTGTACTACAAATACAAGCACTTTTTTCAACAAAATACTCTTTTTGCACAAATCTCGCGAGCCGTAAACGACACAACCGCTCAGACACAAAGTATGCGACACAATGAATTGTGGCATTGAAATGGAAAACATACGTTTTGTAATAACACCTCTGTGTTGATAAGTGAAACGAAGAGAAAATGAAATGGATAAAATGGGATAACGGATAAATGTACAATTAAATTTAAATGCAATTTTAAACGTTAAATATAAATATTTTAACCGTTTTTCTTTAAATTTAAACGATGTCAATTTATATATATATATTTTTATTTAACAATATATGTTAATTGAATCGCTTTAAATTACAGCTTAACAACAAGTTTTAGAATCTTAAAGACTAATAACATAGCATTACAAATTATTTTATTAAAACATACCATAACGAATTATAGAAAATTATTTCAAGAGGCCTCTTATTTCAAGAGGGCTTATTTACCAAATATCATGGCGCCTAAGTTGAATTAATCAAATGGTGTTCAGGACAGCAGGATTGCAAGTCTATCATTCTGTTTCAGTCTAATGGAATATGTCATATGAGCAAGAGATCTAGCCAGCGGATACATATTGTTTTTAAAATTTAAAATATATTTCTGCCTTATTCTCTCGAACTCTCCTTTAACCATCGGAACTTCTAAATTGAAATGTTTGTTTTCATTTCTGATAAACCAGGGTACACTAGTTATCATTCTTAGAATATTTAATTGAGCTCTTTGTAGGATTCCTACGTTTGACGAACAGGCATTGCCATATAGTAGTAAGCCACACATGCAGATTGTCTTAATGATTTGGTTATATAACAAGACTTTATACTCTAAATATAGAGGAGACTTATGCCCGATTAGTCTTGAGCTTCATTGGAGTCCTTTTTGGTTCCACCAAGTTAAGCGTTTGTCAAGGTTATTACCAAGGAATGTCACTGTTACTGTTTGTGGAACTACAATTCCATTGAG